CCCCAAAAAGTCTGAGTAATTTAGCAGCTGCACTTGCTGTTTGCACATTTCTAATGAGATACTGATATTATGGGAACACTGTTTCCTACCTCAATGCTTCTCGATTATCTATTATTAAACAACTTCTTTATTCTTTCTTCGTTTCTTTTAAATTCCAATCATTGAGTGTTAACAAAAACTGTATGGCAGTATCTCAAAGTTTAGTGCTCCTTCCTGTATTCATGGTGCCTGGACCATCATTAGCAGTGTGCAGAATGGCAAAGATTTGTGGATTTGCAGGTCACTATCTAGCTCCTGTTGTCTCTTCTTCTCAAGGGCTTAATTCACACATTCCTCCCTTCTTTGTTTTTCTCTCATTTCTCCCACTATTTTTTAAAAAGAATATAGTCTTTGAATCCATAACTCCATCAGACTCTCATTTCAAATCCACCCTCTATTTGAAACGTGTGCACATTTCCCCTGTAATTTTGTTCAACATGCTTGCTTCAGCAGCACATAAACTTCATTCGGTCAACCCATTTCAGTTTTGTTAACTTTATTTGCTGTGAATTTGGCCTAGACAACCAGAAGCTCGTGTAAGACACTTAGGTAGCATAAAAAGTTCAGATACTTGAGGATGAAGAAGAAATTCATGTAACAAAACAATGTAACCAATAGGACACATGCTTTCTTGATTTAAAGAGCATATGAAATCTTCAGGTGATTTTTCTTTTGCCAAAATACAGACTGCAAGTCTTGGTGGCTAAGTAATTATAACTTTCTGAGGTTTCTTTTAGTCACTGGTTAGACAATTTTATCTCAATAATTCAAAACAGAAAATTCTACATACGCATACATTAAAGTGGTCATACATTTCCATTTATAAGGCACAAAACTTACAAATCTCTGAAAGAAAAAAACACAAGGGCTTGAAGACAAAAGAGTAATCTAATAATAGAGGCTCATCAAACTGAAGTTAAAACAAGCCACTTTCGTTGCTGAGTAAACAGGGGTGTTCTCCTGCTGGGACACGGAGGCTGTGAAGAGAGGGCTCCGCAGCCCTTCTCTGCTGCAGCCACCTTCACTGGATGAGTGCAGAAGTCAGTCCTGGGCTGTGTGGCCAGAACACATTAACTGCAAGTACCGCTTGTCCCACAGAAGCTGCTGGGCAGCAATGTTCCAAACAGCGTTTTGGCTACAGGGTGCCTAATCCATTCATTCTTACTCAAAGGAGGCTTCAGGGACCAGCCACAGTGAGCATACACGTTTGCTTGTCCCAGGACTCGACTATTTTACTATTTTAAGGGTTCTGCTCTAAACTGAGGCAGAACTGCCTGCCTGAGGACCCTGTATGAGAGTAGTTATGTCGATCCTTCATGGGGCAGCATATACATAGAAGACTGGATCTTAAATTCCTCTTGAAAGAATCAGATCCCCCCGAGGATCCTTAGAACCAGTTCACCCTATCGAAGGCATTTTAAACATGCTGGTCAAACCTGCAGATCCCCAGAGCAACCTCTAGATTACTGGTCTGTAAGGCAGCCCTATTTAATAGCTCTCAAGCAATCCTGCAGTCTACAGTATAAAGCAGAAAAGTCCCATGACACAAACCAAGCAAGGATTCTATGCTTGGTGGCTGGCCCTCCTGGTGGCTCTTGGCACTGTACTTTCTAGTACCGTTTACATTGGTATTATGTCAGAATAAGCTTCCTGAATGCTTACATGGCTCCAAACGTTTCCTGGAGTAAGTAAGACTGCTTCATAGTCCTTGATATTATCATGCAAAACAGGGATGGGTGTAAACACTATTTCAGACTAAACAGCCAGGCAGACAGTTGTCCTGAGAAGGGGGTGTTACAGCAGGGACCTTCATTACGGGGAAGGGTGTTATTAAATCATCTTGAATATTGTGACTTTTCCACTCTAGGCAATCTGAAATCCAAATAAGCCAGGGTCCTCAGTCAATATGTCCAATTGCCCAAGACCAACCAGTAGGATGGCTATTCCAGTAGGATGAGGACCAGCCACCTACTTCCCTCCCAGCTCAATTCTATTATCCATTCAGTTCTACGATTTGCCTCCGGAATCCTTAGTGAGAATTCTGCTAACCTCTCAGACACGAAAACGGTTCCTTCTAGTTCTGCGTCTCATCAATCTTATCCAAAATCCCTTCCCTTGTGAGGCCATGCCCCAGAAGAAAAATGAGTTTCCCTCTTCTTAACAACAAAACTTTGGAATCCTTTGGCTTGTGAAATGCTGCAGCCATAGTGTAGCCTTGGAAATACGTATTAATTTAAAAATCAACACTTAAAAATGCGAAGTCAACCTCTGTTGTTGCATCAAGCATCCCCCGAGGCATCAGGGACCACCCCTACACCTCCCCCGACCCGCAAGCCTCAGGAGTCCCTCTTCATCAGTCTGGCCTTCACTTTGTGCCGCAGGAGCGCAGCGGTGGCAGCACTGCAGGCGGCCAAGAAGAAGAAGGAGAGGCAAGCCGCGTAGACGGACAGGGGGCCGTGGCGCTGCAGGAAGAGCTCGCGCCGCCCCTGGTAGTCCAGGAGGATGGCCTCCAGCTGCGACAGCGTGCAGATGGACAGGAAGGCGTGGAAGATCTGATGCCCGTGCCCCACTATGTCGCAGGAGCCGGGGAAGTACTTCTCGGGCACCGGGCAGGAGAAGAAGTAGGCGCTGACCAGGAAGAAGAGGATCTGCAGGGTGTGGTACCAGGCCGCCTGCTCCTGGCAGCCAGCCAGGTGGCACAGCGCCACCCTGTGCGCCACGGGGCTGATGTCCAGCACGAAGGCCAGCCCGGCCGGCACCACCTGGCAGAGCTTGCGCATCACCGGGTAGGGCCTGCGGTAGCGGTACTTGGCGTAGCAGCAGCCGGCGCAGGACAGCCAGCCGCAGAAGGCGGCGGCGGGCAGGAAGAAGAGCCAGAAGCGCTCGTACCAGGCCTGGTCGGCGCTGTAGAAGAAGTGCGCCAGCGCGCTGCCGTACTGGTACACGCCGACGCCCACGTAGTCCGCGAAGTAGCAGGTGTAGTGCGCCAGCTCGGAGCGCGACTGCAGCAGGTGCGCCAGCAGGCTGCACGTGAGGTAGGCCACGGACGACAGCACGAAGAGCAGCAGCGGCAGCGCGTGCGGCGCCGCCCAGGCCACGCCCTCCGCCTCGGCGAAGGCGCGCACGCGCAGCAGCACGGCGAGCGCCGCCAGCAGGTGCGTCCACACGTTCACCACCTCGTTGTGCTTCTGGAAGAGGCTGAGGAAGTAGTAGCGCCAGCGGTGGCCCGTGGGCCGGTAGCCGGCGCGGATGTAGGGCTCGCGGAAGAGCTGCGGCACGTCGCTCTCGGGCACGGTGCGCGGCAGCTGCGGCAGGCCGCCCTCCAGG